CTCAGCTTGTGGCTTCAGGTGTCCCTGTTTGGAGGAGCAGTGAGTGGCCACGGGTGCACTTGCAGCATCCCCTGTCTCTATAGAAACAGCATACTCAGAGCACAATTCAAGAGATGATTATTAAAGAAAATTCAGCAATTATAAAACACAGATTGTCCTTAATACTTCTGCCCATCACCCATGGCACAGGGAACCAGTGGCATCACAGTTGTGCTCCCTCCCTCAGAAAAGTGCCCCTGGTGTGGGTCATGGGCAACGCCAGCAATGCTCTCCCATCAGGGTCTGCACCTAGACCCTGGCAGGGCAGAAAAGGGCAGGGCTGGCTAACTGCTGAGCCGGGGGTACTCCAGTAGTTCAGAGTCAGTCCTGCAGGCCCGGCCAGCTACGATCCGCTGTGTGTCACAGCACACTCCCCAGGACGGATCCCGGGGGCTGGAGAGTGCTGGGGAGTGGCCTCTGAGCGAGCGAGGACAGGAGCCAGGTCCTGGGGCAGCACTGGCCAGAGAGCCCTCTGGGAGCCCTGGGAAACGTGAATTACAAAATAAGCAAATAACTGCGGAGTGATTACATTAATATTGCTGTAGGACTACCCTCCAGGCTTTACTAGCCGCTCCTTAATTGGGGCCTGCTTCAACTAATTAGTTCCGGGACAAACCAGATTGAAAAGGGGCTGTTATCTAATTCATTCCCTAATGGGTGGTCCACCTTTTCTTGTGGGTCAGAAAAATGTAAGCAGTTGTTCAGCACCTTCTTCAGTGACCTAAGTATTACAGATTTCAAGGTACCAGCACTGTAACTTTAGTAACGTGCTCTTTGCAGGACTGTATCACAGAACGGAATCCCAGCGGCCTGCACTGGTGTAAGGGAGGCACTGGGTGCTCTCATGGCCTTTCTGTCTCTTATTTGGGGAGCTTCTGGTGTTTTGTAGGTTACTCCCTCAAGTGGCCCTGGGGCAGGCTGGCTCCCTGGGTGCTGGCCAGGATCGCACAGGAGAAGCTCTCCCAAAGAGCCACCAGCACAGTCATGCTCTCCTCTGGCATGGGCTGCTGTGAGTGCCCAACTTCCCCATGAAGGTATGTTTTCCACCACCCAAATCTAGATACAAAGTAAGAAGACAACCTGACTGGGGCTTAAACTGAAGATTTTGTTATTTAAATATCTGTGTTTTGCAGGAGTAAATAACCTTTGCTGGGGACCCATCCGTGTGCACTACATGGAGGCAGTTACTGTGTGGCCTCTATCACCATCACACTGGCACCAGCCACATTCAGGTAGACATGTGGTGTCTCCTACACTGGACATCTCTGACCACTGCCATGAGCTTCAGCCATCCTGTGCTTCTCCCAGACCACAAACCTCACTCATTCCTCTCCCACCATCCCTTCCCTGAGCTGTTGTCTTCTCCATCCCCTGCACTGCTCACAAATTCAACCCCCTTCCCCAGGGCTCTGCAGTAGTGCCAGGTCCCCCCATAGACAGCAGATGGCATTTTACCAGGTCAACAGACACTGGAAGGGCTTTAATTAAGAAACTAACAGGTTAGATCAAATTTAAGAGTGCTTCAGTGTGGTAGATTATTTAAGAATTATAGATTCTCTGGTGATATATTTATGAAATCATGGCCTACACTCACGCTGTTTGAGTAAATAAATGCTGAGTGTAAAATGCAGCTTCAGCTTTATGAGCAGGGTGGGGTGTTGAAGGGCACAAGGTGATCCTGGCTCAAGCTTGAAAGGGGTTCCTTCTTATAAGAAATGAAGGTTTTCATAGACTCTGAGTATTCAGAGGAAGTTACAGTGATGAGTTATTTCTTCTACTTCCTTTCTGCTGGTGATGTATTTCCCAACAGCACAAAGCTGCCTGTCCTCTCAACCAGCATCTCCTTAGCAAGCTGGGTGCTGACCTTCCACCTCCAGTTCCACCTAAAACACTTTCAGCTTCTCCTAATGTCTCAGAATACGTGCAGGGAGAAGGAATAGGAACTCATTCCTCATCTGCAGACTTTAATGGTCTGGTGCATTTGCTGGAGATCTCGTGGTGCCAGGGGAATTTATCTGCCAATTACTTCACAAAAAAAATAACAAAAGGTCACGCAGCACTTGGCAGATAAGGGCAGAAAAGGGAGAACTGGGTTTTAATTGAATCCCAAGTATGTTGAACAAAAATTTCAGAACTATCAATTAGTTGCTTGCCTGCTGCTGAAATTTAATTAAGAGAATAGTGCTTTTAGGATGTCTCTGTCTGGGAGGCAAAAAGCATAAAGGGGAACAGTGAAGACTGGAAATGTGATGAGGAGGCAGAAAAGACCCCACTGGAGACACTTCAGAGTTGAGCTGCTGCTCGGGTTCACAGACGAGATCAAAGCTGTCCGTCAAACTGCACATCCCATGCTTGAGAAATGCTTTAGGTCAGGGCACAGGTGGGTTTCCAGCTTGGACTGTAAATCTGCTTCCCCCGTGGCCTCAGGACAAAGCTGGCTTTCCTGCTGCTCCCTGCACCCACAGCCAGAGCGGAGGAGCTGGGGGACACAGGACAGCCAGACCCAAGGAGATGCTGTCTGTGCTCGAGGCCCTGCGGGGGCACCAGCCACGGCAGGGAGGGCAGCTGGGCTAGTTACTGTGCCAGAGCAGACAGCATGGGGATGCAGAGTGCCAGTCCCAGCTCTTCCTCCTCCCCAGCCCCGTGGTGCTTACAGGGAGTGACCTATTTACTGCACTGCTAAGAAAGGTTCGTTTTGTCCTCCCTTCCTTGCCATCCCCCATCCCCTAATAGCTGTACAGCTTAGCTGGCTGGAGAGCAGGGTAGGAAAGGGGAGAGGAGAGGGTAGGGTGCTGCTCTCTGTATGTCCCTGGCTGTTGGGGCTGGCTATGGCCTTTGTGCACCCAAAGGTGCCTGCGAGCTCAGGACTCTGTGCCCCAGGGAGCTGCCAGCACACTTGGCTGTGAAGATGAACAGTTCTGAGGTGAGAGCTGACACATCCAAAGCTCAGCCCTGGATTTTGTCATGTTTGGAGACCAGCAGCCGCCCCAGGGCTCCCCTTCCTCTTCCACCTTACCTGGGTGTTACTTCAAGGCACCCAGATCCCCACTGCTCTGGTTTGTCTGCAGATGCTTTTATCAGTGGCTTGTTCTGAGCTGCTAAGGAAAAATCTGTCCTAAGGGAGGAAAAAAAAAATCTGTACTAGAGACAAGATTGTTACAAGCAGATTGTTTCATTTCCTAGTTTCTTTTGCTAAGTGGAACAATTTTCTCACATCATAGCCAAAACACTTCCATTTTCTTCAAGAAGCAAATCCCAAATGTCTGTGCTTAACAACAATAAGAGGAACTTTGTTCCTGAATTCCCAGCACACACAAAGGAGCACAAAATGGCACAAATCCTTAAATTCCAAACACACGCTGTTTCGAATATTTACAAAACAGTGTTCTCTTCCCTCACCCTTCAGTTATTTGGGGAGCAAAGTAGATAGTTTAATAACTCATGATGTAATAATCATACATACAACGCCACTCTACATCAAAATGAAATAGGTCCTAGACAGTTGTGACACATGACTAGGAGGTGACACCTTGTTCTGACTTGCCCAGGAAAGTGATTTCCCATACATGCAGAATTGTTACTTAACATCTTGTGCTCTTAAAAAATATCACACAGGTATTTTCCAAAGTGGATGGAAAATTCCAGGACTTTTTACCACAATAGTTTGGTGAAAACCAGTGTTGACTGGTGAGGCTGAATTGCCCATTCAAATAATTTTTTACAGTCACTTGAGGGTTACTGGTGGCATACACATTTTATTTGGCAAGAGCTTTAGCATTTGGCTCACGTGTAATCTCATTAATTTTACTCCTTGTCCAGATAGTCTCTTGCATGTTTGGAGCAAGTATCCTTGGGTTAGTTTTTTTGATGCCACAGGTCATGAATGTCCACTTTGGTCACAAGAGGATAGCAGCTATGAGAATTGTTAATGTCTTAGAGTCAGCGTGTCACTTATCACAAAACACTCGATGGATTTTCACAGATTATTCTCAGGAAGTACAAGAATTGCTTCACCTGCCGTTGAAATGCAGCCGTAGCTGGGACAGAGAGCAACGCTGCTCAGCAGCACACAGCTACACCACACCAGGGCTTACAGGACAACCCTGCTGGGGCAGCTAGAGGAACCTGGACAGAAAAGACAATATTATCCAAAAAAAAAGCTTAGACCACAATGTTGGAAGTATTACTGTTACCTTAGGGAACACATTATTAGTTTGTTAATTTTTCTGTAACAAATCCTACTGATCTGGACCTTGAGTTTATGTGCTGCCAGCACTGCAATACTTCCAGAAGCATGTGGTGAGGTTCAGGACACCCAGCTTCAGCTACTCCTGGCGTAGGAGTCTTCACCTGAGAGACTCCTCTTACAATCTATGGTCAGAAATAGCCACATCTCGGGAGGTATTCATCTCCTCAGTAGGTACGTGTTCCTCAGAGGACTATGCTGAGATGAGCTGCTTCCTGCAAGTGCCTGATTGTCCCCATTAGCTCTAAAAGGGCTCCAGAGGAGCAGCTTACATGGGGTGTCTGCATTATAGGCAAGTAAATTTGGACAGGTGAATCTTATCCTGTAAGAAAACTGGTCCAGCAGGAAGAGGGTATTTCTTTTCACTTTCCTTGAATGCTCTCCTCTTCCTGGATTCCTTTTTGGTGCTCTGGCCCAACTCAGCAAACAGTCACTCTTACACATAGGGCAGAATGGCATTCTGCTGCCATATTTAACTGCTGATGCTTTAAAGATGCTGAACATCGACCTGTGCCTAACACTTCACCAAACAAGAATAAATTAGCATTAACGGAAAGCAAATTAATTTGTCTCTAAGACTGTTTTGTTAAATGCCCTGGAGAGGTATTGAATTAAGCTTGCTGCAAAGGCAAAGCGATTTCTGTTGGCACTCGTCCAACACTGTGCATGCAGCCACATAGCTCCCACCGCCTGCATCCTCTCGGGGTGCCAGGAGTTATTTGGCAGGCTTGTTCTTCTTTGCACATGCAGGGAGACTGTTCAGGTCTTCTTGTTCAGTGACGTTGTGATTGGAGCTGTCATGAGCGTAGTCCTTCATAACGCTGTAGTGCACCGGGGCAGCGTACGGCACGGGGATCTCTGCGTTCTTCTCTTTGCACTTGCACAACTTCCTAAAGGCAGCCCGGAACTTCTGTGACATGAGGTTGTAGATGATGGGGTTGATGGCACTGTTCAGGTAGATGCACATGCGGCAGAAGAGAAGGAACCAGATGTTCAGGTACGGAGGGTCCATGAAGGAGTTCACCACCACCAGCGTGCGATAAGGCATCCACAGAAGGGCAAAGAGGACCACCACAACAGCCAGCATTTTGGTCACCTTGCCAGTTGGGATATGCAAAAAAGAGAAATAATCAGGTGATAAACCTCCAGCAGAGCTTTCCCACCTGGAGAAACGGTGCAGGCATTTTCTGTACCAGAAAGAAAATTTGAAAATTGTACATAACAGTAAATCAATGGGGAAAATAACTTGGGGATCTAAGATTGGGAGGTGCCATGGGGTCTCCACCCCCTGCCTAAGATCTCCTGGTTTCCTAGGCTAGCTAAATTGTTCCAGGGAATAGGTTCCTAGTACAGCACTGGAAGCTGAGACTGTCTGGAGTCTTACACTTGTGCTGCTTCTTACATGTACTGATACAGGAGTTACTTGGATAATTGGTTTGGGCTATTTTAATTTGCAGCACACTAGGGAAATATTATGTTAACATATTAGGAACAAGAAGATACTGAGAATTCAGAAGTGAGCAGTAATTGCCCTCAGCTTGACTCAAGTTTGTTTAAGAAAATGGGATTTTGTATGAAACTCCAGTGATCCGAATAATTTCAACAGCTATTTCTGGTAGATGACAATCATCCTTCACCAAATACTTACAGAATACATGTCCCCAGGGAGGAAAGTATGAGTAAATACTGGTGCCACATGCATATTAAGGCAGTGGCATTTCAAACATCAGAAAGGGAGTTGTGCAATGACTCCAGTTCTCAGTATGGAAATAAGCACTTAGATCACATTCAGTCTCTTGGCTTTTCTTGGAGGTTTTTTTTTTACTTCATCACAAGGAACTATGCTTTCCTTTAACACTGTGAGTAAAAATTAGGGGTGGTTGGTAGCAGCAACAAAACCTTCCTTACAAGAAAGGGACTATTATCAAGCTGAAGCCAAAATAGAAGTGTTTTGTTGTGTGTGGTTTAACGCAAGGACACATCCCAGCATAAGATCTTAGAGTAATACAGTGAGTGCTGAGGCTGTTGCTAAGACTGCAGCATGTTTGCTGCTGCAGTTTGTTGCTTTTGGGAAAGATAAGAGAGGCTGTAAAAGTTGTGTCAGTTAAAGGTAGCTTCAGAGTTTTCTGCTGCCTTTCACAAGGGCTGGCTGGATGCAGAAGAGCAGGAGTCATCTCACAAGCTTTTGGTTTCAAGCCACCCAGTGTGGTGCACAACTGCTAGGGTGGTAACCTGGTTTGTAGAAATGCTCCTGAACAGCTGGGCTGGGAGCAGACAGCAGCTGCGTGGCACACAGCTGACCAGGATCAAAATCTCTGCGTACCAGCCGTGTCGTAGCTGCTGCCTCTGCCGAGGCTGGCAGGGCAACCCAGGCTCGGCCACCCCTTGCCAAGGGAAGGAGTGTCCTGAGAGCAGTGGTGCGACATACCGCTGTCCTGCACTGCAGGACTGGGGAACCGAGTGCTCCCAAATGCCATCCTGCCTGGAAAGGTCCAGGTTAAAGGGCTGTCTTGGGGGTAAGGCTGGTGGGAGCTTTTCTGTCAGCTTCAGCAGTCCTAGGCAGACAGATTGCTGCAAAATATGTCCTGGGAAAGTGCAGCAGCACCACTCTGCAGGTCCCCACTGAGACACGGGCACTGCTCTCTCAGAAGCAGTCTCAGTTCACGAGATGCAAAGTTACTCCCCATGGGGCTGGGCACAATCAATCCCTGAGCTTTTGTAGCCTTAGCTCTGCTCCCTGGCAGGTGTCCCCTCCTGCTGGGAGGTTCCTGCATGGCCGAGAATGTCTCCTTTAAAGCTAACACATTAATACCGTTCACATGCTTTCTCCTAAGACAGAAACATCTTTGGCTTTTCAACTGTTGTAACTCTCTGCCTTGTTTTATGGTTCAGGAACTCACAATGGTGGTGAGCAGTGACCTGAACTTTGCACCTGAGTGACAACACCAGGGCGAGTATATCCTAACAGAGCTGAAAGCAAGTTCATTCCGGTCCTTTCTGAGACCAAAAGAAACGTAGTCTGGAAAAGAACCAGTAAATCAATGTCATTTTAACCATAACTACTCCTGCTTTTCAGCTGCCAGTTACAGAAAAGCAGGCAGTGCCAACAAGCGTTCGCCCTGCTCCTATCCGAGCAAGCTCCCAACACCTCCCTCCAGACACAGACCACAAAGTGCTGTCATCCAAAGAGCTCTTCCTGCTACACGACCTACAGCCCTGTAAAAAAGCTGCCTTGGTCCTGGGAGGGGAAACTGGCTGGAAACAGCACCATGAGGATTTGTTACCTCTAAATGCCTTCAGTGCCCCCTGAGGATGCTGCCTCCAGAGCTCCAGAGCACCAGCTGGGACAGGCAGCCCTGCCCTGAGCTTGCTGTAAGATTGAAGTTGGCCTTTTAAAGCAAACTGCCAGTATGAACCAAGTTCTCCTGGGTGTGACTTTAGCAAGTTGTGTCAACACAGGATGTCTCCTCTGGCTAAAACCTAACAGTTTATCCCAAACTAACTCTCCTATCTCCATTGTGGGAAAAGACATCTCCAGTGTTGTCTGCATGCACGGCTGAAACCTGTCCCCGTGCCGTTCTTCACTCTGCCTTGCTGAGGCAAGTGACTACAGCACACCTGAGCTGCTCTGCACTTTCTTCTGGTGCTCACGTGAAAAATGAGCCTAATCAGCACTGAGGAGAGTTTGAGACATTTACACCTAACTGGAGCAGTCCTGAATTATGGCCCCTTAAAAACAGCTGCACCCAGAAAAGCTGGTTTAGCTGTAGTCTCAGAGCACCTCTCAAGGAAGCACCAGCTCAGGGACACAAATTTTTCCAACAAGTGTTTTGCAACAATTCTGCTGTATGTAGCTGTGCCCAGAACAGCTGTAAGGCAGCTATGGATAAAAGCAACAAGACAAGGGTTTGTAGGCAGAAGGGGATGTTTTACTAGAACAGCTGGTATTTGGCTGAAAACCCCTTTTGAGCATGTAAGCCAGTGTTGCTGCTGGATAGCCAGGGATATCTGCTGCACAGACCCCTGACTAGCCCTGTGCCAAAGCTAATGGGCAGCTCATCTCCCACCAGGCACCTCCACGTGCCAAGCCCAGTGTAACTCCCAGAGCAAACCCACACTGAGCATCCTTCTTGCTTCACACCAGGTGATCCCCACGTAGCCCTTCCAGCCCATCCCACCTCCCAGTGCTGTGTCCAGCCTCTGCCCTGTCCCCGAGGCCACAGACGCTTCTCCCCAGCCAGTGTCACCCCTCCTTGCTCAGGCACCATCCTGAGCTCCAGTATCATCCTTTTTTAGGAATCCCGCTCCCTCTAGTGGTCCATCTGGCAGGTGAACTACGTGCTTGGAGGTGGCTGGTGTTTGAATCTGTAGTGCTTTGATTCTACAGGTAATAAATACAGCAGACCTCGTGCCTTGTGTTGTCCTACTCTGGACACGTGTTTTTGAGGCACCGGTGAGGGACCAGCAGCATCTTCATGCTCTGCAAAGCAAGCAGCCGGGGCTGCACAGGCTCCTACAGTGCAAAGCATCGCCCTGAAAATGTCATTCTTGTGGCCCTGGCTGCCCCTGCTCAGAGGGGTAAATTCCCACAGACCAGTGCTGACCCTTTGAGGTCTCTGGAAGCCTTGTTCTTCCCTGGGTGGTTGGGTGGTTGTTTTTTCCTTCATAACTATATGCAGAATCATGACTCACTGCAGCTTCTGCTCCTCAATCCATTGCACTGCCAGCAAAAACCTCTGGCTGGATTTCAGGCAGTGCTCAGGTAGATGCTCTGACAGGACCTGGATTTGTTATGCTCCAAGCACTCCTGATCATGCTGCCCAAATCTCTTGTTAAAATAACTGTGTGGTTTTACCTGCCTTTGGTGCACAGATTACTTATTTCTGCACCGAGCATCCAGCAGATCCCCTCAGCAATGAATCAGATGATAGAAGATGAGCACCTGGATCCTGGTTTTGCCCCTTCTGATTTTATGGACAGTCATCTAAATTTCCCTGTGGTTATATATATAAAAAAAAGCAATTGTATCCTATGTCATATCCAACTTGTGAAAGATGTTATGGAAAAATCTGGATTGCAGCCACCTCTGGGGTGCAGTACTGCTTTCATTTGACAGCCACCATCCCTGTGTCGGCCACCCAGCCCACAAGTCACCAGTGGCACAGCTGATGTTTCCTCCTCCATCACTCTCAACACACCTTGCTTTGAGGAGCTACTGGTGTGAAATCAGAAGGAAGTATTCAACAAACCATAGCTGGAAGCCCTGAGAAACTACTTCACGGTTTAAAAACTCTGTGACATCTTTATCCCTAATGATGCCAGCTCTGGGATGTCGGGCCAGCCGGGGAAGTCTTTGCATGCTAAGATATTTTGGGACATTATGATGATCTCAAGAAAACTCCCAGTGTAACAGAAAAGAGAGCACAAGATGTTTCCAGGAGCTGAAGTGCCCATCAGCCAGACCCATCAGCCAGCCATCCTAATGATGCTGGAGCACACTGTGTGTGGCACAGCACCCTGGGGGGTGGGGGCTGGTGCCACAGCCTCTGCAGTGGCTGCTCTGGAAGGAGAGGTCCCTCAGCCCACACCTTTGGGTACTGCCTTGGACTATCTAAGGACCTCACTGCCAGACATTCTGCCCAAGGCTCCCACCCAAGGCCAGGGACCCTGGGAGAGCAGGAAGGTGCTTCTGCAGAATTCAGGTCTTTAAACTTTTCTGTGGTGGAACAGAAGGGAGAAAAATCTGAACTGGAAAGACTTAGAAGTTCATGAAGAAATACACGTTCTCTGGGCTGTCTGCTTCTCCTCTGTGACTGAATGATGGGGACCAAGTAGGCAGCTGGCTGACAGAGTCACCGTGAGGCAAACACAGCACTGTGACACCAAGGCGCCCTCCCCAGCTGCAGGGACTGAGGGGCTGCAGCCACAGCTGGGTTTGGAGGGCACGGGTTCACACCAGCTCCCCCCTTCCTTTGGTCCTCTAAATGTGAGGTAAGTCCCACTACCATAATGTGACCCAGGACTCCCCTCCCTGGGGAGACAATCAGTAATTAATCATCCAGCAAACTCCCCTGTGCTCCTGCTGCTCCTAAGAGGTGCTGGAGCCCTGTCCTGCTCCACAGAGCTCAGCCAAAGCAGAGGGAGCTTTGGCTCCCAGACCCCCGCTGGCCTCGGAGGGGCTTCTTTGCAGCAAAACAACCCTCTCCACTCTGCCCACAAAGGGAAGCAAAACACCGGGACACCCCATCCCTTGCCAGAGAGCCCAAGAAGCACGGAGCCAGCGCTGCCTGCAGCCCGGCATGCCCCAACCCGGCGGGGAGCCCGTACCTGCTTGCGGGAGCTCAGGGCCCCCTTCTGGCCCCGGCAGGAGAGCTTGAGAGAGGCGCCCTGGTGCGTGGAGCCCGGGCAGGAGCTCTGCGGGGCGGCGGGCAGGGGGCTGGCGAAGAGGATGCGGGCAATGAGGCTGTAGAGGACAGTTGCCAGCCCCAACGGGATGACGTAGAAGACAGCAAAATCCAAGAAGTAAATGGGCATGTAAAGGCTTCTGGAGACCCGGTAGCCACAGGTGACCTGTGACCCATCCGAGAAGGTGACCTCTGTCGTGTCCACCAGGAAGAACCACATGAGGCAGTAGAGGGAGGTGAAGAGCCACAGGGCGCAGACGATGCGCTTGGCGCGGGACACGGTGCAGAGGAGCTGGGCTTTGATGGCGTGGCAGATGGCGATGTAGCGCTCCACCGTGAAGGCGGCGATGGACCAGGCGGAGCAGTTGATGCCCAGGTACTGCAAATAGGTGATGCAGAGGCAGCCGGCTTTTTTCAGCACTGGGGAGGTGTCGGGCGGGCGGGCCGCCAGCAGCACGATGAGGTCTGCCGCGGCCAGGCTCACCAGGTAGCAGTTGGTGGGGGTCACCATGTGCTTGCTGCGCAGCACCACCAGCACCACCATCACGTTGCCCGCGATGCCCACGCCGCAGATGAGCAGCACCAGCAGGATGGTGACCACCTGCAG